ATTGTTTTTAAATGGCCTATGACAACTTTTTTTCCCCAGGGATTGAACTTGGGGCCTTGCACACACTGAACACACACCTACCACTGAGCTGCTGCCTCAGCCAGCCATATGACAGCTTTTGATGACATGCAGAAACACACAGCACTTTTTGGATGCATGTACACATTTTATGCAACTTGAATTACACTTAATATATATTGTTTTGTAACCTGAAACATAATATTTCATTTTTGAAAAAGAGTTCAAAAATCTATGCATAAAATGCGATAACTCTTTAAAGCATAAACCAGACGTATCTTACAATAATATTCCCTCTCTTCTCTGCACCTACCCGTGACTGTTTTTTTTAATGCAGAAAGATTCAGGAATCGGAAGGCAAACACAACTTGCTATTTGAAAATGCCAATCTACAGGACTTGGTGCAACCCCTAGAGACAGAGCCAGATGAGGACTGTAAGCAAGAAAGTTGGAATCACCCGCTAGGCTCAGCTGAGGAAAAACTGTGCTGGTGTGTTCCCCTAGGTGGAGGGACTGTGGCAGCAGTTCTACAGACCCTCCACAGAATCATCTATCCAATAGCAGTTTATTGGGCATCTACTATGTGCCATGCTGAGATGAAGAGCTAAGCAGCCAAGGGTCCACCCCCAGGGGAGGATGACACCCGTGAAGTGGGTAGGCATTGCCCTGGCCATGACAGCTTCTGCGTTTCGTACTGATCTCATCTGTCCCTTTGGGGCCATTCCTCCCCATTTTTAAAGATAGGAGAAGGCACCTATGTCTGTAAGCCACATAGCCAGTAAGGAACAAGTCCAAATTTGACCCCACGGCTACCCACCTCCAAAGCCCATCCTCCTAAGCATATTCTCAGACATAGCACCTCATTAGTGGTAACCACCCGTAGTGACCACCTATTGCCAGGCCTTCTTTGCGAATGCACGCTCATTTAATTCCCCCAAAATTCTAGGTGGGGCTAACACCAGCCCCATTTCAGGAGGGGAAACTGAGGTTCTGGGAAATGAACCGGCTCGCCAGAGGTCCTGGGGTACCAGTGAGAACCTGGAGTTGGCCGTCTGGCTCCTAGAGGCAGTGGATGCTGTGGTAGCCCCTAGGCCCTAGTTTGGGATCAGAGCACTCACTCCCCCAGCCGCCCAGGCTGTTGGTGGCAGCCCGTATCCGGTGACTTATTTGTGGGACATAAAGGCCTGGCCCCTTGCCTCCAAGGGGAGGGGATATCCTTGAAGGTCATCCCAGCTCCAGAACTGCCATGGGATGGCTGAGGGCCAGCCACGACTGCATCACAGCTCAACTCTTCCCTCTTCCTAGACCTGAGGCAGCTGTTCTGCTCTGGAGGCCCAGGCTGGAAGGTGAAGACTTTGCTAAGGCACTCGGGACTTTGGTAAAGCAGGCAAGTGACAGGTCAGATCTGCACTGTAGAGAGATCCTGTTGGAGGATGATCGGGCGTGCAGAGACCTGAAGCCAGGAAGCCAGTGAGGAGGCCAGTGAGAAAGGCAGGGAGAGAGAAGGCCAATTCCAGCAGCAGCCACTGGGTGGAATTAATGGACCATAATTTGAGACGGGCCCAAGATCCCCAGCCAAAGGTGGCTGGGGTGGGGAGGTGCCAGTACCCTGGGCTGTCTTCCATCTGGAAGTCACTCCCCAGCTCTGGGCCAGCCCACCGGGGTGCTGCCCTGGCTCTCTCAGTCATTAGCCGTGTGGCCTGGACAGGGTACCTCAGTGCCTCACTCAGCACATGTGAGGAAACGGGGCTAATACCAGTCGCTCCCTCATTGAGGGCTATGAGGAGTTAATGCGGTAATAATACAAGTCAGGAATCCCAGACAAGGCCCTGGCTGGGCCTGAACGCTTGATCAGCAACAGTGAGCATGATCTGGCTGATCCCAGGCTTCCCAAGTCCCTCTTTGGGACGGGTGCACCTGCAGGTCCCTTTGCCGCTGAGCCCCAGATCACACATTGGTAGGAGAGCAGTGATCCTCTGGGCCACGAAGGATCATCAGAAGGACAAAGTTAAGTAATATTTAGAATGTGCCTGGCACATGGCGTGAAGTCAACCAATTGCAGCTGCTGCTGTTGTGGGGACAAGGTGACAATTCCCACGTGACTCTGCGGGCCTGGCCACCCTCCCGCAGGCAACACAGCCTCAGCAAGGCCGAGCCTCACCCTTCTTTGTGTTCCCAGCCTGCTCCTCCTCCACTGTTCTCTCCATAAATGTCATCGCCAGCTGCCCCAGCCAGACACGGGAAGAACACCAACTCGCCACCCGCCTCCTTCCTCCCGCACCCCACACACACCAGCAGTCGCCAAGTCCTGGGCTCGGGGCCCCTCCCCGAGTCTCCATCACTGCTGTGCCCCACTCCCAGGTCCACCATCTCACCCTGAACCTCCTTGCTGGTCCTGCTGCCACTGCTGCTCCCCTCTCAGCAAGGCCAGCTCAAAGCATTCTGAGAGCATCCTATGGACCTGCTGAGACCCAAACTCTTTAACTTGCTCAGCGAGAGCAAGGCCGGGTCTGGCTTGTTCACCATATCACTGGGGTAAACCACAGGGCCTGGTATACAGTAGGTGATCATTAAACACTAGCTGGGTGGTGAACAGATAGATGAGCACATGAGCACATGCCTGAGCTGGCCATGCTGCCAGGGATGAGAACAATAATACAGCCAGGTGTGGTGGCGCGTGCCTGTAATTCCAACATTCTAGGAGGCTGAGACAGGAGGATCACAAATTCAAACTCAGAAATTTAGCAATATCCTGTCTCTGATTCAAAACAGACAAAATTTAAAAGGACTGGAGATGTTGCTCAAGTGGAAAGGCTCTAGGTTCAGCCCCGAGCATCAAGGGGAAAAAAAAGGAATCATATGATACAGGCACATAGCGCCCCCTACCCACCAGGCGCTGTTCTGGTGTGGACTCATTCATTACAGCTCATACCTGTGCTACAAGCCAGGGGCTGCTTCTCTTGTTTCACAGGTGAAAAAACTATGTTACAGGGAGGTCAAGTTAACTTGCCCAAGGTCACCAAACTAATACACAGCGGGCAAGAGTCAAACAGGCCTCAGGACTGGAGTCACGATGAGGGCAACCAATCACAAAAGCTTACCCCAGGCACCAAATCCTCTCCCTCACCCTGCTGGATAGACCCAGGGGTACAAAGGGGAAGTGTGAGCCAAGGTCAGGCAGCTGTAAATGAGTACTGTTGCAGACAGGCTTCTTCTTTGTTGATGAATAAACTGCCATCCCGTTTACAGGGATTGCAATGGCGGTTATTCCCCTGAAACCTGCTTATAGAGGGGGTCCCTTCATGACTGAGGACCTAGCTGCGGAAAGAGGCCATGGGGCATCCTGGCTGCTGGGTAGGCGCAGGGCTACCGGCTCTGGGCCTCCTCTCCTTTGTCCTACAAGGTGCCTCTTTGGGCTTTAGGCCTTAAAACACAGCCTAAAGCAGATTTCAAACCAGCTGGCAGCCTCCCAGGGCAGTGCCTCAGGGCCTGCCTGGGGGTTAGGATGGGAAGACCGAGCAACTCAGACCCCGGGGACCCCACACCTCTGCCTCCACCAGGGCAGCTACGCTTTTGTCCAGGGATCTGAAGAAACTTTCAACTGAAGAAGTTGTGCTGTTCAAAATAACTTTTGAAAATCAGTGCCTTAAGGGATAAATGTCCTCGTCAGGCAAAGTGCCCTGCTCGTGTCTACCCTGGTGACATTCAGGAGCTCAGATGAAGTAAACTCTGGCACAGCAGAGCCGGGCAGGTGAGAATCGCCGATGTGCTCAGACAAGGCCGAGGTCGAGGCCACCCTGACTGCTCCTGGCAGCAGTTTCTCTGCTCTCCACACCAGCTCCAGGTGTGCCCTAGCCAGGGGCCTGTGTGGCACAGTCCTGCCGCTGCCAATGTACGAGGAGCTCGTCTCTGCTGCCTGAAGCCTTCACCTCAGTACAGATCTATTCAATATTAGCCCCACCTTACGGAGGGGAAAACTGAAGTTCGGAGAAATCACTCACCCCAGGCTGGCCTGACTCCAAAGCATTCTTCCCAGTACACTCTTGCCTCCCCCTCCCACGGCCCCGCCTCTCATCCCTCCTCGCCTTCACCCAAGTCCTACCCACCTGAAGGCCCCTTTCCTTCCCCCAGGTCACCCTGCCCACAAGTGCTCTTTCCTCTGTTCCAAGCACGTTCCTATCCCCTCCTACCCTTCACCTGCTCCTTGACGGCCTTTAAGAATCAGTTTGGGCACCACCTCTTCTGGGGAGCCCTCCCTGGATGCCCTGGTCAGGCACCTGCAGTGAGCCCCTCCTCTGAGTTTCCTCCATTACCACCCACATGATTCTGGCTTGGGTCATTTGCCTCCTGCACTTTAACGGGCTCTAAGTTCTTGGGGGCAGGATCCAGTTCCTCAGTGTTCTCCATCCACTAAGCCTGACCAAGAGGTGAGCCATGCAGTAGGTGCTCCATAAACACCTACTGAGCGAGTAAATGTGAACCTGCAATGCGCCAGCCCTCCCCAGCACATGCTGGGCGGAGTGCACCCAGTCTCTGCTTTTACCTTCGTCTCTTGCAGGAAGCCTCCCTTGACCACCTCGGACCCTTGCCTGACTGCACTCCACACCACCGTCACTCACTCAACCGATCTTTGTTTTTTAAAACAGGGTCTTTCTATGAAGTTCCAGACTGGCCTTGAACTCACTACATAGCCCAGGCTGACCTGGAATTTGAGGAGATCCTCCTGCCTCAGTCTCCTGAGTGCTGGGATTATAGGCATGAGCCACCACACCCAGCTTCAACAAATCTTTAAGCAACAATTAAACCAATGCATTTAACAAAGTGAGACACAGGGGGTGACCTCCTGCACCATGGGGCTCTCAGGCACAGCTACGGCCAGGTAGGTGGAGAGGCCCCCTGTGCTATACACTGGGTTGCCACCTGCCCACCCTCCCTCTCTTGCCTGCTCCCAGGCCCTCTGCCCAGCCCCAGCCCAGCCGTACCCGGTTGATGAGCTCGCCAACCATGCCAGTCCAGGAGCCGTTGGGCTCAGGAGCGCCATACAGCCCATCCTCCACCAAGCGCAGGCGGTAGCGGAAGCGCAGCAGCTCAGCCAGCTCCCGCAGCATGTCCACGCAGAAGCCCTCAAAGCGCTCATTGCCCGACAGGGCCTGGAAGTTGGGCCGGCGCATGACATATGGGTTCTCCTAGGTAAGCAAAAGAGAAGAGGAGTTACAGATTGGGCATCTGAGGGCTGAGCCAGGGATCCGGGGACCCAGGCAGAGCCTGAGGACCTAGAACAGGCAGCTAGAACAAGAATCTGCTCAAAGTGGGGAGGGTAGGTGTGTGTGACAGATTCATTTTATATACTCTTCACTTAAAAATGCTTGAAATGGGGCCAGGGATTTAGCTCAGTGATACCATGCCTGCCTTGCAAGCGCAAGGTCCTGAATTCAATCCTCAGTACCAAAAAAAAAAGCTTGAAATGTTAATCCCAGCTACTTAGGAGGCTGAGGCAGGAGGATCACAAATTTGAGCCCATTCTAAGTAACACAGGGAGATCTTGTCTCAAAATAAAAATTTAAAAAGGCTGGGGATGTAGCTCAGTGCTAGGCCGTGGATTCAACTCCTGGGACCAGGAGGGGGGATCCTCAAAGTGACAACAGGCCTGAAAGCCAGAGGAAAAAGACACATGGGCCTTGCCATCCTTTAGCAGATTGCGGGAGTCATTTAATCTCCACAGTCAATCTGACATTCATCGGTCTCCAGCATAAGTGTCGATGAGACAGGAGAGAGCTTCAGAGAAAACCAGACTGGAGGGAACTTGTGCCAAACTAGAATAGGACTTCCAACTATTTTATTACGACCAACAGTGAGAGGTACAGTTTACCTTGCAACTCAAATCACCCCCACTCTCCATATGCACCCAGGCAACTACTTAATCCCACAAAACGGCTCCTCCCCCTCTTGACCATGGACAGCACACACAGCTATTTTCTATTCTGTTCTACTTCACCTTGTCAGTGACTCACTGAACTGACTTCATGAGCCACCGATGGCCAAAGAGTGTCTCCCCAACTCGGATTGATCTCCAGCCCCACACCACTGTGAAGGAAGCCGGCTTGAGGTGCCAGATGGTGGAACTTCGAGAGAATTTGGAAACCTAGACTGTTTTGTAAAATCTCCTCCTGATTATAAATGTTAGCAACTCATTCAAATTCTAATACCCTTTAAAAAAAAAAATGTCTTGCAGGCCAAACAAACACACCTGCCAGTTTGCAGTCTGTGGCCTTTTGCTGCCATGGTGCTTACTTCTGAGAGTCACAAGCAAACTTTACTGATCCCAGTCTGCCAAAGAACCATGAAAGCAGAGAGAACACCCCAAGTGCTGGTAAGATAAGGGACGTCTAAATGGTTGTTAGCACAGTGCCCCTTTGAACTAATGAATTAAAGGCTTAGGAAGCCAGATGCAGTGGTGGATGCCTGGAATCCCAGTGACTTGGGAGGCACAGGCAGGAGCCTGGGCAACTGAGTTGGACCCCATCTTAAAATAAAATAATATTAAAAAGAGCTGGAGGGTACAGATCAGTGGTAGAGCGTTTGCCTAGCATGTGTAAGGCTCTGGGTTCAATCCTCAGTGCTAAAAAACAGTCTTAGAACACAGGGGAGAAGGCTTTGGCAGTAATATCCACGACAGCTACTGTGCATTTGAGCACTTGCCCTGTACGGGCTCTCTCCATCACCTCACGTTAATTTCTCCCAGAGACCATACACTAAAACGAGCATTATTAGACTCATTTTTCTACAGACCTGCACACCATGGCTCATAGAGGGCAAGTGACCTCTGTCACCTTTCCTAATTACTGAGCTCTGTGGTAGATGTGGACATAATATTTTGCTTCCTCTCCCATCAATGTGTGGAGTCCACTTTCTTCCTCCTCAATCAAGCCAGCCTTGTGGCTTGTTTTGGCCAAAAGAAGGTGGTAGAAATGATGTGTGCATTTCAGAACTCTGGCCTTCACAGCAGCTCTTAGGATTGTGTAAGGGAGTCCAGGCTAGCCTGTTGGAGAATGAGTGGAGCGGGCAGTGCCCGCCAGCAGCTGGCCTGTAGCCACTCCAGTGCAGCCTGGCTACCAGCTGCTCGAGCCTCTGTAAGACCATCTGAGAAATGCCCAACTGACCCATAGAATCACGAGAAATAAATCACTACTAGGTCTCTGGGTATTTGGGGTGGTTTGTTACACAATGATTAAATAACCTACCATGAGGTCAGGTCCTATCACAGGCCTTGGACTCCAGATCCCATGGAGGCCCACAGCTAAGGGACAATGAGATGGAGAGAAACCAGTGCTTCTCTCTCTCTACCAAGATGCCTTTCCAAATCTGAAACCATGCGACTGGGAGAAGGAATGTGAGATAATACTAATAATAGCAGCAGCAGCTAGCATTTCTTGTGGGCTTGCTGTGTGACAGCTCTTCTATCAGTGTGGGAGGTCGGTATTCTTACCTCTGCTTTGGAGATGAGGACACAGGTCCAGAGAAGTGAAGTGAGAAGTGGCTGAGAAAGACAAGCCAGTCTGACTCCAAAGTTCTGTTCTTTGACCCTGTGCTAAACTGCACGCGAGTGGACAGAATGAGAGGAGTGGACACAGGAAAAATCAGGCACAGAGAGGGGACATCACATTTGGGTATTGAAGCAGGAGAACCAGAAATCAAGAATCTGAGAGCTAAGGGCTGAGGATTTAGCTCAGTGGCACTGCACTTGCCTCACAAGCACAAGGTCCTGAGTTCAATCCCTAGTACCACCCCCCCAAAAAAATCTGAGAGTCATAGCACACATGCTAGAGCTGAAAGGTTCTCATTCAGCTCTGTGTGTGAGTGTGAGTGTGTGAGTGTGTGTGTGTGTGTGTGTGTGTGTGTGTGTGTTTCTGGAGCTTGAACCCAAGGAGTGCTTAGCTATATCCCCACCACTTTTTGAAATTTTATTTTATTTTATTTTTTGGTACCAGGGATCGAACTTGGGATCTTGAGCTTGCGAAGCAGGTGACAGAACCACTGAGCTAAATCTCTGGCCCCTCAAATTTTTATTGTGAGGCAGGATCTCACTAAGTTGAGCAGGTTGGTCTCAAATTTGTGATTCTCTTGCCCCTGTCTCCCAAGCTGAGATTATGGGTAGGCACAACTGTGCCTGGCCTCTTATGCCTCTCTTGATATAGAAAGGAGGAAACCAAAGCTCAAGGAGGTAAAGTACCCAGCCCAAGGTCAGACAGCTAAAGCAGGGCTGTGGGAAGGGAGATGGGGCAGCTGGAATTCACAACCCTGTTCCTGTATACTCTGAAACCCTTTTTCCTTCCATTATGCCAAGATGATCTCCAAATTCAAGACTGAGGAACTTAGGTTCAAAGCCTCAGAATCAGGACCTAAGCTTATACAAACAAAAACAGAGTGGGGCCTTATACAGAACACAGGATCTAAAAGCATTGATCTAGGACTCAATTTAGAGCACAGGGCCCTCACAACCAAAGGTCCTTAAGGAGCCTCTAATCCAAAGTTTTCAGGCATCAAAGAGAATCTTGTGCGGAAGTCCAACATTGTGGACAGGCAGCAGAACACTGCTAAGTCAGATTCTAAGAATCCAACGACTGTATCTATGCACAAAAATCCAAGCCCAAGAAAATCATTGCAGCAGTGCTCAGGATGGGAACAAAGAGCGAAACAACCTAATTTGGGACAAGTTAAAGAGATCATCGATGTCATAAAAGAATCCCAGGCAACTACGAAAATAGCAAAGTCTATAAGATATATTAAGAGGGGGGAAAAACAAGCTACAGAACAATGTGTGCAATATGCTATTCTTTGTGGAAGAAAGCAGGGATGTGATTGTACATGCACAGACATTTCTGGAATGATGGTGCCCTCCAAGAAAAGAAAATGAGGGACCAGGGGAAAGGAGGCTGGTTTTCCACTCTTTACTCCCTTATCATTCGATTGCTATTCTACCTGGGCTTATATATCTTCGGTCCATCCCCCAGTGCCATGAATTTTTAAAAACTGAAGTTTGATATTTAAAAGTATGTGGAAATGCAAAGGACTACGAAGAGACAAAGGAATCTTAAAGAAGAACATCAAAATTGGTAGATTTAGGGCTGGGGATTTTGCTCAGTGGCACCACGCCTGCCTTGCAAGCACAAGGTCCTGAGTTCAATCCCCAGTACCAAAAAAAGAAAAAAATAATTGGTAGATTTACCCCACCTGTTAACACTTAATTTAAGCTGTGGTATTAAGACACCATACTATTAGAGTAAAGACAGACAAGGCTGAGGATTTAGCTCAGTGGTTCCACTACCTGCTTCACAAGCTCAGATGCTAAGTTCAATCCCAGTACCAAAAAAAACAAAAACAAAAAACTACTAATAGAGTAAAGATGGACAAATGGACAACAGACTGGAGTGTTAGGAAATTCATCCAGAAATGGATATGGATTTCCAGCAGAGAGAAAACTGTGAGGAAGAGAGAAAAATTATTGTTTTAATAAATGGTGCTGTTCAATTAAACAATTTCCATATGAAGGAAATGTATTCTGACCTCCGCCCCTTACTTCACATGTTCATAAAAGTCAATTCTAGCTGGTTTGTAGATTTTAAAAGTCCCTCCCACCCCACCCCAAATCAGAGATTAAATTTAGGGCCTTTCACTGAGCTGTATCCCCATCCCCTTTTTTTATTTTTTATTTTGAGACAGGAGCTTACTAAGTCAGTAAATTGCCCAGGCTGGGCTGGAACTTATAATCCTCCTGCCTCAGCCTCCTAGAGTGCTGAAATTATAGGCATATACCGCTCTGCCTGGCCACAGATTTAAATGTTAAAGAAAAAAATTATTACATTTTTAGAAAACAAATAGGAGAAGGGGCTGGAAATATCTGTGATGCAGTGTTTGCTTTGCATGTGTGAGGCCCTGGGTCTGATCCCCAGCACCACAAAAAAGAAAAAAAAATCAATAGACTGATGAACTTGGGAAAGGCAAAGGATTTTAAAATTCTAAAAGTATTAACCACAAAGGAAAAAGGCTGATAAGTGAACTTTAGTAAAATTAAAATTCCAGTCATTTTATAAAATTATACAACTGAGAGTGAAAAGACAAGTCACAAAGGGATTGTCAATACAGATGGCTGACAAAGGAAGTGTATCCAGAATGTATAAATAACTCT